TGGAACCCATACATTCAGTCATATCTGGCATCTGAAGCCGGATAAACATGGCCCTCATTCATGGGCAACAGATGTCACCATTTGTCTGAATGAGGACTAGAGGAGCCCCCGGGCCCATACATCCAGTCTTATCTGGAATCTGAAGCTGCATAAATATGGCCCCCATTCATGGGCTACAGGTGTCACCACCTGCGTGAATGAGGTCTAGAGGAGCCCTCTGGTCCCATATTAGGTTTGCCACCTCATCCCTTTAAAACCAAACACATATTAATTACACAGGTCCTCTGGCTGATTAAGGTGGTAATTGGACTCACTTAGTGTCCTATCCGCATTAAATGAGCCTCAGAACCTGTGTTTGGTTTTAAAGGGATCAGGTGGCAACCCTAGCCCATACACTCAGTTGTATTTGGTGGCTGAAGCCGCATAAAAATGGCCCCCATTCATAGGCTATGGGTGTCACGGCCTGCATGAATGAAGCCTAGAGGAACCCTTGGGGCCCATACGTTCAGTTGTATCTGGCATCTGAAGCTGCATAAACATGGCTCCCATTCATGGGCTACAGATTTCACCACCTGTCTGAACGAGGCCTAGAGGAGCCCTTGGGGCCCATCCATCCAGTCATAACTGGCGGTGTAGTGTAGCTTCAGGTATATTCCCCACCAGGGTGTCCTCAGGTGCTGCATACCGCCATCTATAGAAATGAATGGTTGTATGCCGCTATCATCATGTATACGCACTTTCCTTCATGTGTACAGGCAGAAACCTGCAGCCAGATTTGTGTGCTGTACTCATACATGTGTCTACACAATCCCTTGGGATGGTTCCCACTATCAAGTATGTTAGAACTTGGTTGCTGGTGCGCAATAGTATGTCAGCAGTGCCCATGCAACGATCGCAACACAATGCACTGTTTACTTTTTTTTAATAAACTTTATTAAAATGTCACACAATGACATTTCATTCATTTCTATTGGCCTCACTGCACTGAAAAAAAAAAATGCACGCAGTATTTTTTTTCTCAGCACAGACCACCACAATGTAGCAGTCTGAACCAGCCAGATTGGAGATTTTGCCTCATTTTGCGGTGGAACTACGCTGGAAGAGCCACCCAACCAATCCTACTGCATACCTGGCCCTGCACCAGCAGAGAGTCCACATAGGACAGCAGGATTTCCTTCCTTTCTTCGGAATGTGGAAGAGCTGTAGGGATGAACCTAAGATGAGGAATGCCCAATCATGCCCTAAAGATACCGTGCTGATGACCTAGACATCCCGGATTAAAACCGCCCAGACATGCCAAAAGTGGCGAAGGCGTGCTCCCACCTAGCCTGCCTAAGCGGGCCCAATCTCAAAAGGACTTTGTAGCCTTACAACCTTCAGAGGTCGAGCCCTTGCAGGATTTCTGAAAAGATGACCAGCTTCTCCAGCTTCTCTTGAATTCACGGCCCGGCTTGTAGAGGAGCGAGTCAATGGCTCGTTCCGAGCCTTGACTTCTGGGCTGAGCCCTCTTCTGACCTAGCAGATGCCGATCCAGGGGCAGGAAACCAGACCTCCCGCCCGGGCTATAGCACTGTCCAAATTGTTCCCAAACAGGGAGGAACCCTCGAAGGGGATCTTGCACCATGTCTGCTTAGAGATCGGATCGGCCAACCAGGGCTGAAACCACAATATACACTTGGCTGTCACCATGAACAACATAACCCAAGCCAGCAGACAAGTAAGGTTGCTCGAGGCCTCCTCCAGAAAGGCAGATGGAAACCTTAGCTCCCAGATAGCTGAATTCCTAGCCACTTCTTCTGGAAATCCACATTCACGTTATCTGACCACACTTCCATAGCTTTAGATAAGGCCGATAAGGCAAGCGCCGGCTTGTAAGCCATTCCTGCCGTAGTGTAGATTCGCTTGAGATCGGAATCGATTCTCCTTTCTAGGTTGTCCTTTAAGGATAACGAAACCTCGAGAGGGAGGGTAATGTGCTTGGCTAGCCTCATCAAGGTGCATCCACCAGGAGGGCTGATTCTAAATGTTTGATGTCCTGTGATTTGAACAGATAAATCTTGGCTGCTTTGTTCAGCAAGGAGGCTCTCTTACTGACATTACTCCACACCTCGGTAAAAATTCCCCCAAGTTCCTCCAGGAAAGGAAAGTTTGGACAATCCTTCCTTAGCTGTTTGAAGAATTTCCTGTGTTTAGGGGGAGACTCCACGGCTTCTTCCTACTTCAGGGCCTCTTTGCTTTGGCTAAGGGTGAGACCAAAGCGAAGTCGAAGCCCACACATAGATCTTCACTCTCCACCTCACTGTTTGAGGCTCTGGCTGACAGGTGGCTAGGTTGTGAAGGCTCCAATCCCTCTTGGGGATCTTTGGGAAGGAAGCACACCGTGACCAATGGGCTTGCGGGTACAACTAGTCCCAATTTCTTTCAGGGACTCTTGAACAACCCATCTGACCAAAGCCTCTACCTGTTGGTTGGCGCTTTCTCTCCTGCCAGTCGCATGTGCAAACAGGAGTCACATAATGACCTGTCATCAGGAACCTGAGATTCGCACCCCCAGCAAGTTTTCCTATTGGAGCAGCTGGAGTGCCCATTAACGCGATGCCTGGAGGAGGAACGAGAACTTCTATGATGCCTGGAGCAGGAAGGAGACCTGTGGCATCCAGATTTAGAGGACGAGTGATGGCGCCGAGACCTGGAAGCACTTCCGTCATCATGTGCCGTATAGTGATGATCAGACCTACTGTAGAAGACCTGAGAAAAAAAAAAGACACAGAACATGGGAGAGTTAAAAGCCACAGAAAAGCTCCAGTGGGGGATCAAGGGAATAAAGCCGCCCGTCCGTACCTACTGCGCAGGGGCTGGCCACAAGAAGGTGGTGACACCTTCATGCCGGGTCAGTTGCAAAGGCAACCAAGCTGTAAAAAAAAAAAAACATGACATGCAGGATCCCAGCAGACCACCAGGGTGACAGGAGGGAGCAGGCACTGACCTTCACAGCGGACCACAGCGCCTGGGGAAGCCGCCGCATTCAGCCCGCAGGATTTCCCAAGAAAACAGCTTTGACAGCTGTTTAACCCCTTCACACCAGCCGCACGGAAATGTGCGGCCTCCCGGCTTCTGAGCACCACAAACCAAAAATGCTATTTCATTCATTGTTAATATTCAAAGCAAACTCGCCCCCCCCCCATCTATGTCTCCATGCTTTATTTTGCTGAAAAATAATATTGAAAAACACCCCCTTGGCAGGGCTTTTTTTTCAGTAGGCATGCGAGGGAATGCAGTTCCGGCATCTCCAGTACCGAAAGTATGCAATACCAAGGAGTTCTGGGGTGTGCTGGACAGGTCTGTTGATGCTGGTTGCTGGGGATCTATTGTCACTGGGGGGTCTGTTGTTACTGATGGGGGATCTATTGTGACTGGGGGGGGGGATCTGTCGTTACTGATGGGGGATCTATTGACACTGGGATGGGGGGACTGTTGTTACTGATGTGGGATCTATTGTGACTGGGAGGGGGAATCTGTTGTTACTGATGGGGGATCTATTGACACTGGGAGGGAGGAATGTTGTCACTGATGGGGGATCTATTGTTGCTGGTGAGGGTCTTGTGTTGCTGAGGGGTTACTGGAAGAGATCCATATTTGAGGATGGGGTGTATTGTGGCTGGCTGATGGGGAAACTATTGTTGCTGGGCGGGGGGGGGGGGTAGGGTATATTATTCCTGATTTCACGGGATCTATTTCATGCTTTCCTTGTTATCATTAAGATATTCCATCCAAATTACTCAGCACTACAAAATGCTACTTTGTTCTGTATTCTCTTAAAGGGGCAGTACTGTGAGGTCGGTAGGGGGTGGATCAAAGGAACGGTGCTCGGAGGTGGGAAGGGGGGGGGGCAAGGGGTGACTCGGAAAGGGGGGAGTACCTTCACTTATTCTCTGAGAAAAAAAAGCCCTGCCCCCTGGTAGTTTTGGCAGTGGCCATCTTGAGTAAGGGCAGATGCAGAGGTGGACTAACCATTTGGAAACTTGGGCACTGCCCGAGCCCGAGGGCCTGGGGTCAGTAGGGGACCCCATGAGATGCCCCTAGTACCTTTTTCATAGGCTTTTTTGAGTTTGGGCAAGGACACAGGGGCCCCATGATCCCCTATTGCCCGGGGGCCCATGAGTTGTCATTCCGCCCTGGGCAGATGATTCATGTTGCATTTACTTCCTGGAATCCATCTGCTCTAAGCTCAGGCATTGGCTGTGCTGAGAACCCTCCCTCCCCTCCTGAACACTGCTGGGTTGTATGACATCATGTGCCTAGGCATGGAAACCAGGAAGTAACTGTAGAAATGTAAAATAAAACAGTTTCAAACAAGTAAAGATGATATACTTTCCTATCTATCTACTAATGCTAGCAGCATAAGGATTAAAAATAGTCCATGTTGATTGAGAGACTGAAGTTCCACTTTAATTTAGTCCCAGCTAGACTCTTCCCATTTCTTCCTTGTTCCATCAGTCATTGCAATACTTCACAGATCCGGGGCTCAGAATAGTTATTGTCGACTTACACTTGAAAAAAAAATGGGGGAAAAAACGTCCTTTGTGCTGCAGAAGTAAAAGCTGCAGTGGATTCAACTTCTGTGTCTTATTGAAGAGTTAAACTGCCTGTGATGATGCCAAGTCAGCAGGTGACCATACCGTAGCCTGGTTCTAAGGAGGTATGTCAATGCCTGAAACATCATTGGAATCATAACAGCCAATAAATGCTACTGCAAGCCTGATTTCACTTTTCAGCTGGTGTGGGGTGGATTGCAGATTGCAAATATTTACATACAGGAAAACAACTTCATTAATGATCTTCAGGAGCTTTACTATGCCTTCCTGCAGTTCTTCAGCAGGCACATTTTGTAGCTGATAAGTGAATAAATTACATAAGACGTTTCATGACTTCCCCCCCCCCCCCCCCCCCCCCCCCACCTCGCGTCTCCCCCATCCTGCATTGATTTGTTGCATTTCCCCCCAGCTGATGAGATCACGGTCATCTGTTCAAATGTTTGTTCTCCTGGCAGCATCTGGGCTCCTGGCCCGGCTCCTGACGTCAGCGGTGCTGCAGTGCAGACAGTGTCAGTGACGTCAATGCATGGATATAAAACAGCTGCAGCACCGATGCAGGAGACGGCCGACACAGCTGAAGATATGTGAGTTCTACACAGCACCATGGGAGTCATGACATCACACTGACACTGTATGACATCACGGGGGGGGGTCACATGACTGCAGAGACAAGTGGGTCTCACTTGTTACACCAAAGTTTTGAGCTATGGCATCCTATGGGATCGGGATATGTTATGTATCCTGTGGGATCGGGATATGTTATGTATCCTATGGGATCGGGATATGTTATGTATCCTATGGGATCGGGATATGTTATGTGTCCTATGGGATCAGGGATATGTTATGTATCCTATGGGATCGGGATATGTTATGTATCCTGTGGGATCGGGACATGTTATGTATCCTATGGGATCGGGACGTGTTATGTATCTGTGGGATCGGGACATGTTATGTATCCTATGGGATCGGGATAAGTTATGTGTCCTATGAGATCAGTATATGTTATGTATCCTGTGGGATCGGGACATGTTATGTATGCTGTGGGATCGGGACGTGTTATGTATCCTATGGGATCGGGATATGTTATGTATGCTGTGGGATCGGGATATGTTATGTATCCTGTGGGATCGGGACATGTTATGTATGCTGTGGGATCGGGATATGTTATGTATGCTGTGGGATCGGGATATGTTATGTATCTATGGGATCGGGATATGTTATGTATGCTGTGGGATCGGGATATGTTATGTATCCTATGGGATCGGTATATGTTATGTATCCTGTGGGATCGGGACATGTTATGTATCCTATGGGATCGGGATATGTTATGTATGCTGTGGGATCGGGATATGTTATGTATGCTATGGGATCGGGATATGTTATGTATGCTGTGGGATCGGGACATGTTATGTATCCTATGGGATCGGGATGTTATGTATCCTATGGGATCGGGATATGTTATGTATGCTGTGGGATCGGGACATGTTATGTGTCTATGGGATCGGGACATGTTATGTATCCTATGGGATCGGGATATGTTATGTATGCTGTGGGATCGGGATATGTTATGTATCCTATGGGATCGGGATATGTTATGTGTGCTATGGGATCGGGATATGTTATGCGTCCTATGGGATCGGGATATGTTATGTGTCCTATGGGATCGGGATATGTTATGTATCCTATGGGATCGGGATATGTTATGTATCCTATGGGATCGGGACATGTTATGTATGCTATGGGATCGGGATGTTATGTATCCTGTGGGATCGGGACATGTTATGTATCCTAAGGGATCGGGATATGTTATGTATGCTGTGGGATCGGGACATGTTATGTATCCTAAGGGATCGGGATATGTTATGTATGCTGTGGGATCGGGATATGTTATGTATGCTATGGGATCGGGATATGTTATGTATGCTGTGGGATCGGGATATGTTATGTGTGTCCTATGGGATCGGGATATGTTATGTGTCCTATGGGATCGGGATATGTTATGTGTCCTATGGGATCGGGATATGTTATGTATGCTATGGGATCGGGACATGTTATGTATCCTATGGGATCGGGATATGTTATGTATGCTATGGGATCGGGATATGTTATGTGTCCTATGGGATCAGGATATGTTATGTATGCTATGGGATTGGGACGTGTTATGTATCCTGTGGGATCGGGATGTGTTATGTATGCTATGGGATCGGGACATGTTATGTATGCTATGGGATCGGGATGTGTTATGTGTCCTGTGGGATCGGGACGTGTTATGTATGCTATGGGATCGGGATATGTTATGTATGCTATGGGATCGGGATATGTTATGTATCCTATGGGATCGGGATATGTTATGTATGCTATGGGATCGGGATATGTTATGTATCCTGTGGGATCGGGACGTGTATGTATGCTATGGGATCGGGACGTGTTATGTATCCTATGGGATCGGGACGTGTTATGTATGCTTTGGGATCGGGACGTGTTATGTGTCCTATGGGATCGGGACATGTATGCATCCTATGGGATCGGGATATGTTATGTGTCCTATGGGATCGGGACATGTTATGTGTCCTATGGGATCGGGACATGTTATGTATCCTAATGGATCGGGATATGTTATGTGTCCTATGGGATCGGGATATGTTATGTATGCTATGGGATCGGGATGTGTTATGTATGCTATGGGATCGGGATATGTTATGTATCCTATGGGATCGGGATATGTTATGTATGCTGTGGGATCGGGATATGTTATGTATGTATGGGATCGGGACATGTTTATGTGTCCTATGGGATCGGGACGTGTTATGTATGCTATGGGATCGGGACGTGTTATGTGTCCTATGGGATCGGGACATGTATGCATCCTATGGGATCGGGATATGTTATGTGTCCTATGGGATCGGGACATGTTATGTGTCCTATGGGATCGGGACATGTTATGTGTCCTAATGGATCGGGATATGTTATGTGTCCTATGGGATCGGGATATGTTATGTATGCTATGGGATCGGGACGTGTTATGTATGCTATGGGATCGGGATATGTTATGTATCCTATGGGATCGGGATATGTTATGTATGCTGTGGGATCGGGATATGTTATGTATCCTATGGGATCGGGATATGTTATGCATCCTATGGGATCGGGATATGTTATGTATCCTATGGGATCGGGACGTGTTATGTGTCCTATGGGATCGGGATATGTTATGTATGCTGTGGGATCGGGATATGTTATGTATCCTATGGGATCGGGATATGTTATGCATCCTATGGGATCGGGATATGTTATGTATCCTATGGGATCGGGGATATGTTATGTATGCTGTGGGATCGGGATATGTTATGTATCCTATGGGATCGGGATATGTTATGCATCCTATGGGATCGGGATATGTTATGCATCCTATGGGATCGGGATATGTTATGCATCCTATGGGATCGGGATATGTTATGTATCCTATGGTATCGGGATATGGTATGCATCCGATGGGATCGGGACATGTTATGCATCCTATGGGATCGGGATATGGTATGCATCCTATGGGATCGGGATATGTTATGTATCCTATGGGATCGGAATATGTTATGTATCCTATGGGATCGGGATATGGTATGCATCCTATGGTATCGGGATATGTTATGCGTCCTATGGGATCGGGACATGTTATGCATCCTATGGGATCGGGACATGTTATGTGTCCTATGGGATCGGGATATATGTTACGTATCCTATGGGATCGGGATATGTTATGCATCCTATGGGATCGGGATATGTTATGCATCCTATGGGATCGGGATATGGTATGCGTCCTATGGGATCGGGATATGTTATGTGTCCTATGGGATCGGGATATGTTATGTGTCCTATGGGATCGGGATATGTTTATGTGTCCTATGGGATCGGGATATGGTATGCATCCTATGGGATCAGGATATGTTATGTATCTAATTGGTATCCTATGGGTTATTGAAGGGATTTTTGTTCCTGTTGGAGGAAATAGGAGCATGCTTTTATGGGGTGACTCAGGGTTCTGAGGATACAAGGAATATAATTTATTTTTACCTTCTTGTTATAATCAATGAACATGTGTCTTTTATTTCAATCTGAATATCTATGTATCTATGTGTAAGAAAGCAGGTAGTGAGTTGGGAATGCTGGGACTTGTAGTTCCACAGCATCACACTTTTATTAGACACACAATGACCTATAGTAATAACACATACATAACGTCCATATAATTTGTTGTCATGACTGTTTGCTTTCTATATTCAGATAGAACATTTGATATATACTGTGTGTGTGTGTATATATATATACAAGTTGCAAGAAAAAGTATGTGAACCCCTTGGGATTACGTGGAGTTTTGCATGAATTGGGCATAAAAATGTGCTCTGAACGTCATCTAAGTCACAACAATAGAAGACCACAGTCTGCTGAACATAATACTACACAAACATTAGATGTTGCCATGGTTTAATTGCACATAACATGTAAACATTCACAGTGCAGGGAGGAAAAAGTATGTGAACCTTTGGACTTAATAACTGGTTGACCCTCCTTTGGCAACAATAACCTCAACCAAACATTTCCTGCAGTTGCAGATCAGACCTGCACAACGATCTGGAGTAATTTTGGACCACTCCTCTTCACAAAACTGTTTCAGTGTAGCAATATTCTTGGGATGTCTGGTGTGAATCGCCCTCTTAAGGTCATGCCACAGCATTTCAATGGGTTTGAGGTCAGGACTCTGACTGGGCCACTCCAGAAGGCGTATTCTGTGCTGTTGCAGCCATTGTTTTGTTGAATTACTTGTATGCTTTGGGTCATTGTCCTGTTGCATCACCCATCCTCTGCGGAGCTTCAGTTGGCGGACAGATGGTCGTACGTTTTCCTGCAAAATGTCTTTATAAACTCTGGAATTCATTTTCCCATCAATGACAACAATCCGTCCAGGCCCTGAGGCAGCAAAGCAGCCCCAAACCATGATGCTCCCTCCGCCATGTTTTACAGTGGGGATGAGGTTTTGATGTTGGTGTGCTGTGCCTTTTTTTCTCCACACATAGTGTTGTGTGTGTTCTTCCCAAACAACTCAATCTTGGTTTCATCTGTCCACAGTATATTTTGCCAGTAGTGCTGTGGAACATCCAGGTGCTCTTTTGCAAACTTCAAACGTGCTGCAATCTTCTTTTTGGACAGCAATGGCTTCCTCCGTGGTGTCCTCCCCATGTACTCCATTCTTGTTTAATGTTTTCCTTATTGTAGATGTGTCAACAAAAATGTTAGCATGTGCCAGAGATTTCTGTAGGTCTTTAGCTGACACTCTGGGATTCTTCTTTTTACTCATGCAGCATTCTGCGCTGTGCTCTTGCAGTCATTTTTACAGGACGACCACGCCTAGGGAGAGTAGCAACATTCCTAAACTTTCTCCATTTGTAGACAGTCTGTCTTACCGTGGACACATGAACATCAAGGCTTTTGGAGATACTTTTGTAACCCTTTCCAGCTTCATGCAAGTCAACAATTCTTGATCGTAGGATTTCTGAGAGCTCTTTTCTGCGAGGCATGGTTCACATCAGACAGTGCTTCTTGAAACCAGTAAACCCAAAACAGGTGTGTGTTTTTTAAGGGCAGGACAGCTGTCAGCAACACATCCAATATCATCACACTGATTGGAGTCAAGGTTGGCTCACTCTTGGCTCCAATTAGCTCTGGGAGAAGTCATTAAGCTAGGGCCTCACATACTTTTTCCTCCCTGCACTGTGAATGTTTACGTTTTATGTGCAATTAAACCACGGCAACATCTAATGTTTGTGTAGTTTTATGTTCAGTAGACTGTGTGTTCTTCTATTGTTGTGACTTAGATGATGTTCAGAGCACATTTTATGCCCAATTCATGCAAAACTCCACGTAATCCCAAGGGGTTCACATACTTTTTCTTGCAACTGTATATATAAATAAAAGGGTTCTATTATAGATATATATATATATATACATATATATATATATATATACACACACATACATATATATATATATATATACACACATATATAAAGTGTTTTTTAATGCAATTTATATTTATATATTTATTTTTCATGAAAGTCAAAAATGAATCGCCAAAGATATTTTTGCAAAAAAAAAAAAAAAAAATATATATATATATATATATATATATATATAAAAAATATATGTGTGAGTGTATATATATACAGGTGAAACTCAAAAAATTTGAATATGGTGCAAAAGTTCATTTATTTCAGTGCAGCAACTTAAAAGGTGAAACTAATATATGATGACTCATTACATGCAAAGCAAGATAGTTCAAGCCGTGATTTGTCATCATTGTGATGATTATGGCTTACAGCTCATGAAAACCCCAAATTCACAATCTCAGAAAATGAGAATATTGTGAAAAGGTGGAATATTCTCGGCTCAAAGTGTCCCACTCTAATCAGCTCATTCAGCCATAACACCTGCAAAGAGTTCCTGAGCCTTTAAATGGTCTCTCAGTCTGGTTCAGTAGGAATCACAATCATGGGAAAGACTGCTGACCTGACACCATCACTGACACCCTCCATAAGGAGGGAAAGCCTCAAAAGGGAATTGCAAAAGAAGTTGGATGTTCCCAAAGTGCTGTATCAAAGCACATTAATAGAAAGTTATGTGGAAGGGAAAAGTGTGGAAGAAAAAGGTTCACAAGCAGCAGGGATGACCGCAGCCTGGAGAGGATTGTCAGGAAAAGGCCATTCAAAAGTGTTGGGGACTTTCACAAGGAGTTGACTGAGGCTGGAGTCAGTGCATCAAGAGCCACCACACACAGACGGATCCTGGACACATGGGCTTCAAATGTCGTATTCCTCTGGTCAAGTCGCTCCCGAACAACAAACAAAAGCATCTTACCTGGGCTAAAGAAAAACAGACCTGGTCTGTTGCTCAGTGGTCCAAAGTCCTCTTTTCTGATGAGAGCAACTTTTGCATGTCATTTGGAAACCAAGGACCCCGAGTATGGAGGAAGAATGGAGAGGCCCAAGGACCCCGAGTATGGAGGAAGAATGGAGAGGCCCAAGGACCCCGAGTATGGAGGAAGAATGGAGAGGCCCAAGGACCCCAAGTATGGAGGAAGAATGGAGAGGCCCAAGGACCCCGAGTATGGAGGAAGAATGGAGAGGCCCAAGGACCCGAGTATGGAGGAAGAATGGAGAGGCCCAAGACCCCGAGTATGGAGGAAGAATGGAGAGGCCCAAGGACCCCGAGTATGGAGGAAGAATGGAGAGGCCCAAGGACCCCCGAGTATGGAGGAAAAATGGAGAGGCCCAAGGACCCCGAGTATGGAGAGGAAGTATGGAGAGGCCCAAGGACCCCGAGTATGGAGGAAGAATGGAGAGGCACACACTGCAAGATGCTTGAAGTCCAGTGTGAAGTTTCCACAGTCTGTGTTGATTTGGGGAGCCATGTCATCTGCTGGTGTTGGTCCACTGTGCTTCATTAAGTCCAGGGTCAACGCAGCCGTCTACCAGGAGATTTTGGAGCACTTCATGCTTCCTTCCACAGACGAGCTTTATGGGGATGCTGACTTCATTTTCCAGCAGGACTTGGCACCTGCCCACACTGCCAAAAGCACCAAAACCTGGTTCAATGACTGTGGGATTACTGTGCTTGATTGGCCAGCAAACTCGCCTGACCTGAACCCCATAGAGAATCTATGGGGCATTGCCAAGAGAAAGATGAGAGACATGAGACCCGAACAATGCAGAAGAGCTGAAGGCCGCTATTGAAGCATCCTGGTCTTCCATAACACCTCAGCAGTGCCACAGGCTGATAGCTTCCATGCCACGCTGCATTGAGGCAGTAATTGCTGCAAAAGGGGCCCCAACCAAGTACTGAGTACATATGCATGCTTCTACTTTTCAGAGGTCTGATATTGTTCTATGTACAATCCGTGTGTTATTGATTGCATGGAATATTCTCATTTTCTGAGATTGTGGATTTGGGGTTTTCATGAGCTGCAAGCCATAATCATCACAATGATGACAAATCACGGCTTGAACTATCTTGCTTTGCATGTAATGAGTCTCATATATTAATTTATTTCAGTAATGCAACTTAAAAAGGTGAAACTAACTTTTACATGATATTCTAATTTTTTCGAGTTTCACCTGTATATACCTAACTGAATATGTGTGTGTGTGTATATATATATATATATATATATATATATATATATATATATATATATATATATACATATTCAGTTAGGTATATATTTTTGGACACAGGCACAATTTTAGTTTTTTTCATTTATTTTACCAAAACATATTCAAGCTATAGTTATATAATGGATATAGGCTGAAAGTGCACTGTCTCAGATTTAATTTGAGGGTATGTACATCCAAATTGGAGGAAGGGTTTAGGAATCACAGCTCTTAAGTGTAGCCATCTCCCCTTTTACAAGTGACCAAAAGTAATTGGACAATTGAATATAATCATAAATAAAACATTAATTTGTAATATTTTGTTGAGAATCCTTTACTGGCAATGACTGCCTGAAGTCTGGAACCCATGGACATTACCAAAGACTGGGTTTCCTCCTTTCTGTTGCTTTGCCTGAAGTCTGGAACCCATGGACATGACCAAAGACTGGGTTTCCTCCTATCTGATGCTTTGCTGAAATCTGGAACCCATGACATGACTGTGTTTCCTCCTATCTGATGCTTTGCCTGAAATCTGGAACCCATGGACATGACCAAAGACTGGGTTTCCTCCTTTGCCTGAAATCTGATGCTTTGCCTGAGATCTGGAACCCATGGACATGACCAAAGACTGGGTTTCCTCCTTTCTGATGCTTTGCCTGAAATCTGGAACCCATGACATGACCAAAGACTGGGTTTCCTCCTTTCTGATGTTTGCCTTCTGCCAGGCATGACCAACTGGGTTTCCTCCTTTCTGATGCTGGCTCTGTCTTCAGTTTTTCTTTGTTTTTGGCTCTTTTCTGCCTTTAGTTTTGCCTTCAGCAAGTGAAATGCATGCTCAATTAGGTTGAGACCAGGTGATTGCAGAATATTCCACTTCTTTGCCTTCAAAAGCTCCTGGGTTGCTTTTGCAGTGTGTTTTGGATCATTGTCCATCTGTACTGTGAAGTGCCATCCAATCAACTTTGCTGCATTTGGCTGAATCTGGGCTGACAGTAGATCTGTAAACACTGCAGGATTCATCTGGCTGCTTCTGTGTTCGGTCACATCATCAATAAACACCAATGACCCAGTGCCACTAGAAGCCATGCATGCCCATGCCATCACACTGCCTCCACCATGTTCTACAGAGACGTTGTGTGCTTTGGATCATGAGCTGTTCCAAGCCTTCTCCACACTTTCTTCTTCCCGTCATTCTGGTACAGATTCATCTTAGTTTCATCCGTCCAAAGAATGCTTTTCCAGAACTGGTCCGGCTTTTTTAAAGGTTTTTTTTGCAAAGTCTAATCTGTATATTTATGATTTTTATAATTTTTTTTTTATTTAATACCTTTACATATCCCACAGGTCATCCTCCACTGCCGCTTCTAAGAATGCACCTGGTTCTGCCCCCAGCGAGCCGGGCTCTGATGTCTACACCTATCAGCGGATGGAGCTCACCCAGGCTCAGATAGACGAGGTGATTGGAGCGTCGCTTATGACTTTGTAGCTAGAGCCCTCATGCACACGGGGCATTTTGATAACGCTGGAAACGTTAGCTGTGTAAAGTCGCACTAAAAACCAGAGTTTTTCAGCTTTTTTTTAGTGTTTTCACATTAGCATTTAGCAGCGTTTGGCTGCGTTTAGTGGCGTTTTCCCACGTTTTTACAGTTTTTAGCTTTTTTGAGCGTTTTTTTCACCAAAAAAAAAATATTTCTTGGTCAAAAAAACCTTTTATGCGTTTTACCACGTTAGAGCGTTTTTACAGCTAAAAAAGTCCTCTAGAAGCCCACTAGTCCTGGGGTTTTTTTCCAGCCAGAAAACGTCTCTGCCAAAAAACGTTGATTCCAGTCTGTGTGTGTATGGACACAGGATAACATGCTGGGTGGAGGTTTACTGGCTGTAGAAAAAAATGTCAAAAGCCAAAAACAGCCGCTGTAAAAACGTCCCATGTGCATGAGGACTAAAGTTTTGGGAATTTAAAGTGCAACTCCAGACCTAAAATCAGTCAACGTATTGCACAGGCTGCTAAGTATTGCAACATTTGTGATTCAGCAGGCTTTTCATAGGGCTTGTAGAAGGGACTACATTTTTGGCCATAAGTGGCCATAATGCGGTATTTGTATTTGAATACCTCAATCGGGAAAAAAAAAGAATTTTGGGCACTAGGAGATGCTCATGGTCATACAGGATTTTTATAGAGCACAGAACAAGTTTTACTCTAGCATTGCAAATGGGCGTCACATTCGTTCAGCAAACTTTTATTTTTACCCCAATGGAAAAATTCAAGAGCGTGTTGGAGGGAATGATCAACTAAATGGAACCAATGCTACAAAGGGACCCCTGTTCAGGGGCGGATTGACAACTCATGGGGCCCCCGGGGCAATAGGGGATCATGGGGCCTCTGCGTCCTCGCCCACACTCAAATCACACCCAAAAAAGCCTATGAAAGGTACCAGGGGCATCTCATGGGGCCCCCTACTGACCCCGGGCCCTCAGGCAGTGCCCGAGTGCTCGAATGGTCAGTCCACCCCTGCCCCTGTTTATATACTAATTCTGTTTAGTGTTCTCTAGCCACTTGCCGACTGGCTAGCTGGGAAAATACGTCATGATTTTGACGTTTCATATCGGGGTTATGGCTGCAGCTATATGCCATAACCCCAATATTAAATTTTCCTCAGATGCCAATGTATCCAATAAAAGTGATCTAAGCGGTTGATTAGCCACTGGATCATTTTTATAAGCATCCGGCGGGGCCGGGACAAGGGGCCAACATTCGTGGCCGTGGCTGTCAATCACCGAGTCCCAGGCGGGTAATTACCGACCGGTGCCCGGTGATTACCAAGCATCCCACGATGGGGAGGAAGACTGTTTTGTTTACTAGCAGTCTTCCTCCCTGTAAGCTCAGGCACACTGCTCTGGATGGCTGTCCACAGCACAGCCATCCAGAGCAGTGTGCTTACAGTGAAGCACACACCCCCTGCCCCCTAGTAACACTCCCTACACATAGTTAACCCTATGATCACCCCTCATGCCCACATGGAAGAAAAATATATTTTAAATATATCTTAAAAATATCCCTCCCCAAATATATTGACATATATTTGAAATACAATTTTGGCCATATTCAATGTATTTCAAAATATATTTCAAATATATATATATATATATATATATATATATGTGTGTATGTATATATATATATATATATATATATATATATATATACTGTATGAAAAATATTTTTAAAAATACAATTTCAAATATACTGTATGTCTTTAAAAATACAATAATCTACATTTTTGGAATGCATTTACAAATATATGTTAAAATTACTTTTTTACATGTTAATAGAATCTGAAAAATATATTAAAAAATATATATATTTTTAAAAATATTTTTCATATATTTTGTAACATATAAAAAACGCATTTCAACATGCAGTGTGTGTATGTATATATATATATATATATATATACAGTATATATATATACAGAATATATATTTGGGCTAAAATTGTAGTATTTCAAATATATGTCAATATATTTGGGAAGAAAATTTTTAAAATACATTTCAAATATATTTTTCTTCTCCCTTCCTGCCCATTGCCATTAGTACAGTGTCAGTGCTTTTTTTTAGCACTGTATTGGTGTTACTGCGGATGTCAGTGACACCAGGTCAGTTCCCACCCAGTGTCAGAATATCCGCCGCAGTCCCGCTAAAAGTCGCTGATCTCCGCCACTAGTAGAAGAAAAAAAAAACAGTATATATACTGCCATTTGTAAATGCTATAACTTTCACGTAAACCAATTAATTTACACGTATTGGGATTTTTTTTTTTAGCAAAGACGTCGCGGAATATTATTATTATTATACAGTATTTATATAGCGCCAAAAGGTTTGCTCAGCACTGGACATTATAGTGGGGGACAGAACATGAGACAATGCAGTAACAAAACAGAACACAAGGGATTCAAGGGCCCTGCTCTTTCGAGTTTACAATCTAGGAGAATACATTTTGGCCTAAATTTTTGCTGAAATTTGATCTTCAAAATGTTTTACTGGACATGTTTTATAGCAAAAAGTCCAAAATATTGTTTATTTCTCAAAATTGTCGGTCTTTTTTTTTTTTAGCACAAAAAATAAAAAATGCACAGACGATCAAATACCACCAAAAAGAAAGCTCAATTCTTGGGGAAAAAAGGACGGAAATTTATTTAGGCGCAGCTTTGCATGACCGCGTAATTGTCATTTAAAGTAACGCAGCGCTGTATAGCAAAAAATGACCTGGTCGGGGGGGGGGGTGGGTAAATCTTCTGGAGGGCGAGGGATTAATGTGGCCTATAAACTGTACAGCTCCGTTGAACAACATACTGAAATCTTTTAGGTGGAGGGAAGTAAAAATAGATTTCATTTGGGTGCAGCAGTGCATGACTGCGCAATTGTCAGTTAAAGTAATGCAGCGCCGTAACACAAAAATGACCTGGTCGGGGGGGGGGGGGGGGGGGTAAATCCTCTGGAGAGCAAGGGGCTAATGTAACTTATAAACTGTACAACTCAGTTGAACAACAAACTGAAATCTTTTAGGTGGAGGGAAGTAAAAATAAATTTCATTTGGGTGCAGCGCTGCATGACCGCGCAATTGTAAGTTAAATTAATGCAGCGCCGTAGTGCAAAAAAAAAAAAGGCCTGGGCAGGGGGGGGGGGAATCCTCAAGAGGTCAAGTGGTTAAATACCATAGTTTGCCCTATTATTTGCAATATGATTGTTTCCTATGCTCGGCAACTCCATCTAGTGGCAATAATGGGGTATATCTTTTGAATGTGGAATTATGGGGATCCTAGGAATCTTAGGAGACTATTATATTACAAACAATATGGTAAATATTGGTGGTGTTCATGCGTCTGCACAGCGGACCTTTTATACATAGATTCCTACTAGCCATGAGTGTGACGGCTGCTTGACCTGTTGGAGGTGCGTTTTGCCCAGCCAGGGGCACACAGGGTTTGGATGATCTCAGAACGCCCATGTACACCTTTGTTGTTGTATTCTGGCAGGTGCTGAGCATCATGAATACCAACGTGGATAAAGTGTTGGATAGAAATGGAAAAATATCTAAACTTGAAGCCACAGCGGAGGAACTTCACGCTGGCGCCAAACAGTTCCAGACCAACACATCGGAGCTGCGGAAGAAACCCCTGTGGAAGAACAGCAAGGTGCGTGACATGGGGGGCAGCAAGGTGCTTGACATGGGGGGCAGCAAGATGCTTGACATGGGGGGCAGCAAGGTGTGTGACATATGGGGCAGCAAGGTGTGTGACATATGGGGCAGCAAGGTGTGTGACATGGGGGGCAGCAAGGTGTGTGACATGGGGGGGCAGCAAGGTGTGTGACATGGGGGGCAGCAAGATGTGTGACATATGGGGCAGCAAGGTGCGTGACATGGGGTCAGCAAGGTGCGTGACATGGGGGTCAGCAAGGTGTGTGACATGGGGGGCAGCAAGATGTGTGACATGGGGGGCAGCAAGATGTGTGACATATGGGGGGCAGCAAGATGCTTGACATGGGGGGCAGCAAGATGCTTGACATGGGGGGGGGCAGCAAGGTGTGTGACATGGGGGGCAGCAAGGTGCGTGACATGGGGGGGCAGCAAGGTGCATGTGACATTAGGGGCAGCAAGATGCTTGACATGGGGGGGGCAGCAAGGTGTGTGACATGGGGGGGGCAGCAAGGTGCATGACATGGGGGCCAGCAAGATGCGTGACATGGGGCAGCAAGATGCGTGACATGGGGGCAGCAAGATGCGTGACATGGGGGGCAGCAAGATGCGTGACATGGGGGCGGCAGCAAGATGCGTGACATGGGGGGGGCAGCAAGATGCGTGACATGGGGGGGGCAGCAAGATGCGTGACATGGGGGCAGCAAGATGCGTGACATGGGGGCGGCAGCAAGATGCGAGGACATGAGCAAGATGTGGGGGGGCAGCAAGGTGCGTGACATGGGGGGGGCAGCAAGGTACATGACATGGGGGGCAGCAAGGTGCATGACATGGGGGCAGCAAGATGCTTGACATGGGGGGGCAGCAAGGTGCGTGACATGGGAGGGCAGCAAGATGCGTGACATGGAGGCAGCAAGGTACGTGACATGGGGGGCAGCAAGGTGCATGACATGGGGGCAGCAAGATGCGTGACATGGGGGGGATTCACTGATCTTGGAGAGACTAGTGACGCAGAAAAATGTAGGGGGCCATTTTTTTATCATTTCTTCAGTTACTTCCCGGTTTCCATGTCTAGACAAATGATGTCATACATCCCAAGAGTCTTCAGGAGGGGAGGGTTGTCAGCTCAGCAAATGCCTGAGCTAAGGGTAGAAGGATTCCAGGAAGTAAATGCTACAGAAAATGCTAGGGGGTGTTTTTCAAAATGATTTCTCAGCAAAATAAAGCATGGAGGCAAGGGGGGATGGGGGGAGTTTGTTTTGAATATTAACCCCTTCACACCGACTGTATACAACTAGCGGCCCCACTGGACTGGGCTTTTGGCCGCATATTTGCCTGCCTTTGTGCTGGGAGTGCGCCATATGGTGATCTCCCAGCACAGAGACCAGGGTCTCACAGAAAGCCCAGGGTCCTGTGGTGATGATCGGGACCCTGAACTCCCAATTCCGGGGCACCTGATCACTGTGATAGCCTCTGATCAGCCCCCTGTGATAGCCTCTGACTGCCCCCTGTGATAGCCTCTGATCAGCCCCCTGTGATAGCCTCTGACTGCCCCCTGTGATAGCCTCTGATCAGCCCCCGTGATAGCCTCTGACTAGCCCCCTGTGATAGCCTCTGATCAGCCCCCTGTGATAGCCTCTGACTGCCCCCTGTGATAGCCTCTGATCAGTCCCCTGTGATAGCCTCTGATCAGCCCCCTGTGATAGCCTCTGATCAGCCCCCTGTGATAGCCTCTGATCAGCCCCCTGTGATAGCCTCTGATCAGCCCCCTGTGATAGCCTCTGATCAGCCCCCTGTGATAGCCTCTGATCAGCCCCCTGAGATAGCCTCTGATCTGCCCCCTGTGATAGCCTCTGACTGCCCCCTGTGATAGCCTCTGACTGCCCCCTGTGATAGCCTCTGATCAGCCCCCTGTGATTGCCTCTGATCAGCCCCCTGTGATTGCCTCTGATCAGCCCCCTGTGATAGCCTCTGATCAGCCCCCTGTGATTGCCTCTGATCAGCCCCCTGTGATATCCTCTGATCAGCCCCCTGCGATAGCCTCTGACTGCCCCCTGTCATAGCCTCTGATCAGCCCCCTGTTTTCTCTCTCTGAATGGAGGATAGAGATACATTTCATCTCTCTGTCCTTTCAGGGAGAACAAAAAGTGTGTGTAAACCCCCCCCCCCCCCCCAAATATCAAGGTTTGATCTGTGTCAATGCCAGGTTTAGTGTTTGGGTTAAGGTCAGGGTCAGTATTTATTTTTTTTTTTTTTTCGGTCAGGATTTTTTTTTTTTAATTTTTAAATTAACATCAGTATCAATCAGTGTCAGTGCATTTTAGGCAGGATAAAAAAAAAAGCAAAATGCGCAAATTGTTTCTGGGCCGTACTATGAGTACAAACAACAACTAACATCCACTTACGGGGTATCCCTGCGATTGTCAGAAGAAGTAGAATTTATTTTGATTTGTTCTTTCATTGTAGGTTATGGTAGTAGCAAGAAATATACAGCTACATTTAAAAACATTTTTTTTTTTACTATTTTGTGCCAGTTTTCCTTTATAAATAAAAAAAAAAATCAGGAGATATCTATTTCCATTCACCACCAAATGAAATCCTAATTTGTCCTGAAAAAAAATCCAGTATAATCCACCTGGATGTACAAAGTAGTTGTGATGATATGTGCGGTTTTACTAACACATGTCAACGTTGCAAAATTGTGCATTAAGATTTGTTTTACCCTCAGGAGTGAAGGGGTTAAAAATGAATTAACCACTTCCAGTCCGGACACTTTCACCCCCTTCCAGTCTGGACACCTTCACCCCCTTCCAGTCCGGACACTTTCACCCCCTTCCAGTCCGGACACTTTCACCCCCTTCCAGTCCGGACACTTTCACCCCTTCCAGTCCGGACACTTTCACCCCCTTCCAGTCCGGACACTTTCACCCCTTCCAGTCCGGACACTTTCACCCCCTTCCAGTCCGGACACTTTCACCCCCTTCCAGTCCGGACACTTTCACCCCCTTCCTGCCCAGGCCAATTTTCAGCTTTCAGCGCTATCACACTTTGAATGACAATTGCGCGGTTATGCAATACTGTACCCATATGAATTTTTTTAGCATTTTTTTATACAGATAAAACTTTATTTTGGTGGTATTATTCACCGCTGGGCTTTTTATTGTTTTGCTATATAAAGGAAAAAGTCCAAACATTTTGAAAAAAAAGTGTTTTTCTTATAAAATTGTGCAAATAAATAATCTTTCTTCATAAATCTTGGCCAAAATGTATTCATCTCTCTTTTTAGTAAACAAAAAATAATCAAAATTAGTTTATAACCAAAAATTATAATATTTCAAAAAATTTTTATTTTATTTTTTATACTGGTTTTTTTTTTTTTTTTTTTTACATACCATCACCCTAGCAGTACAGTGTCCCCATGGTGACACTGTACTACTTGTGGGGGTTGATGAAGATTTCTTTTTCTTTTTATACACTGACTGCTTTTACACCCATAAAGGCTGTAAAAGCAATCATTTCTCCTTCTCTCTGGCTGCATTCTTGCAGCCATTGAGAAATACCGTGTTAGCTGTGATTGGTCACAGCTTGTCACATGGTACAAGGCTGTTGTGAATAGCCCTGTACCATGTGACCTCTGTGATCATTCATAGATTTCACACGAAGTAAGCAATGATGTCAGAAGTGACATCTTGCTTACTACTATTCATGTGATCACTGATTGGCCAATCAGTGATCACATGAATCAGGACCTTACACAGAGGTCCCGTATAGCGATTGGTGTTCCGCTGTGTCCGGAGGACACCGCTCCAGCCACCCGCTCCTGCACTGCTCCCGTCCAGCCGTTTATATATACATGGGCCGGATGGGAAGTGGTTAAATAGCGTTTTTGGTTTGTGGTGCTCAGATACAGTGCAGTTCCACTTTAAAAAGACTGAAAATAAAATAGACACATAGAGACGCATAGTTTCCCCCTTATAAAATGTCTTCTACATTATCAAGTTGGAATTTATAGCGGACTTTTTAACCCACACGGTCATTCTTTCTTCTTTCTGCCCCCAGCTGCTGGTTGTCATCGGTCTACTCGGTATTGCAATGGTGATTGTGACGGTCGGTGAGTATTATGTGACATTATGATCAGTGGAAGCACAGCTCCCAACTGTCCCTGATTTCGAGGGACTGTCCCTGATTTGGAACAAAGCCCCCCTGTCCCTCTTACCTCATTTGCCCTTCATTTTGGTCTGATCTATATAGTTGTATATGTAGCACTACCCCCTTAGGAGTCGCTAGAAGATTTGGGTCCCCCTGTAGTCCTGCACAGCCAGGCATCGCAGATTTTCCATTCAGACTTGCTTCAGGAGACAGAAAACCAGTCCTTGAGCTTTGTTTTGAAGTTTTATTGGGGATGCAAAGCTTGGCTAGGGTAAGGGGTGAATGGGATGCCAAAGGTAATGGTAATAGAGCACAAACTTCCTGAACTATATTACAAGTCTTTACACAGGAATCCTCTTCTTGGAGAGTTAGCCAGCCTTTCCTGGTGTACCACCTCTTCTTATCCAGCTGTCTAGAGGAATCCCTGAGCAAGGGAGTCCACGCTGCCACTTCAGATGTAACAGGGGGTAGAGCTAGCCAGATTCCCCACCCAAATTCTCCCTCCCCTTTCTGGCCCAGGGGGTGTAGGAGTACTCAGTGAGTCCTTCTCCTCTGCTACTGTTGGGTAGGTGGATGCTACCAGGCCTATCAGCTGGGCCGCTCCTTCCCTGCCACCAGGTGGTCCTCTCTCAGGGGGCCAGTGAAGTCCAGGGCTTTCTTCCCCTCAAGCTCCCTCTGCCTGGAGGTGAGTCCCTTCCAGCCTGGACTACCCTTTCCAGGCTCCTGCACCTCAGCCTCACTTCTGCATCTTCCACCCAAACTCTCCTGCTATTGAGCAGGCTCCAACACTTTTAAGGGAGTCTCAGCCCCTGCCATGCCTCCTGTTGGGGATTGGCTGAGGTCCCTCAAGAGTGCAGCCAGCCACTCCTCAGATCCAGTATTGATGTGCCATCCTGGGGGAGTTGGATGCCTGTGCAACCTCTGTATGGTCCAGGTATCACCTCATGCTACCCGTAGTGACACTGACCCTAGCCAAATGCAAAACTAGTGAAAAACAGTCAAAAAAGATGAGTAGGAAAAAATATG